AAGCGGCCCTATTTTTCTATCCGCCCCTTCACAAAATTAGATCATTCGTGAAAAAATCGCAAAATTTACCCCTCAAAATCGCTGAAAAAGGCTTAGTTTTCGAGTTATGAGCTTTTTTTCAAACCAGAATTCAGAAACAGATTTATGATATATCATTGAAAAGAGCTCACCAAGCACATTCAAAAAACATTTAAATTATAATTTTAGCATAAGTGAAACTTGCTGAAAAGTTGTTTCAAAATTTCCAATTTTCCTATCTTTTAACATAGGAAATTTCCAAATTTTTTCAGTTATATGCAAATTATATGTTCAATAGCTCATTCGATAGAACTTTTTAAGCGCTATTGAATGACATCTTGAACGCGTCTCTGTGCTATTTCTTCTTAGAAAAATTTATTAATTTCAAAATTTCGTTCTCTTTTTTCGATTATACCTGATGAAATAGTGTATTGCAAACATGTCTCAGGGTATGGATTCAGATAACCTAAATGAGCTTTTATGGGACCAACAACTCGATGACACTTTACCAAATATTGATAACATTTGCCATTCGATTGATGAATATATGCTTGCAGATGAGGATGATGAAGTATGCATGCACATAGAGCATGTGAATCTAGTGAATGAAGCTAATTACGATGAAATGATGGATGATGATGCTGATGACAGTCTATGCTTGCAAAACCTCTCTCAGCTCGCTCCATCACAATGTTTTGCTAATTTAACACAATCAACTTTACAATCTCAATCATTTACACAAGCTTCAATTCCTGAAAACTCCCAAGATTTTGACCAAGAAATGGAAAATGATGAAGATGATAGATTATGCTTGCAAAATTTATCACAACTAGCTCCAATGAGTTACTTCAATAACTTAGCAACTCAATCATCTCAGTCGTCCGATTCCTCTCAATCAACGCAATCTTCATCTTCCTCTGCCTCATCACTATCTTCTGAGTCGTCTGATTCTTCGCAATCAACTCAATCTTCCTCTTCCTCTGCCTCATCACTATCATCTCAGTCGTCTGATTCTTCGCAATCAACTCAATCTTCCTCTTCCTCTGGCTCATCACTCTCTTCTGACACGTCTGATTCTTCTCAATCAACTCAAACTGCTAACTCTAGTTGTTCAGGTTGCTGTTCTACCTGCTCTAACTGTTCGTATGGTTCGTTGTCTGATACAACACAGGACGAACTAATTGATGCTGAAATTGAATCACATCAGCGTGGCGGAGGTAGTCCTGATCATACACCGGTGATAGCATCAAACGAAATCGCGTTTGAAGTTATCGATGAGCAGCCATGGAGAAATAACCCAGTATTCCATTCAATGACAAAAGTATTGAGGGCTCGTCTGAATAATGGAGGTACAAACGGGGTTGACATTGCGAGACTATCACAAGCAATAGATACAGCATACGAAAATTTTGTTTCTGCCCTCATAAGAGATGCAGGCGAAAATGATAGAATATACATCACATTCAGAAATCCCCAGGAAAACAGAGAGCTTTACGTTTCTTTTCTCAAAAAGAATTTCAACCCTCAAGAATTCCTCGACAGAGCATATGCCCTTGCACAGTCAGCAGGTAATTTCTTAGACGATGGCGTGATGGAGATAAAAATACAAATCATCAAATGCATTTCTGGAGGGGCTAACCGATCTGTTTCACGCCTTATGACCGCAAATGCAAGAGTTAATGTTAAACGTTCCATTTTAGAAATCGTAAATGATGATAATCTTTGCGGATACTTAGCAATTGCTGTGGGAAAGTTCAATGTAGACAAGAAATCATCTACAGAAATGAACAGATGGAAGAGAATCAGACAATCTTTACCCGCACAGAAAAAAATAGCAGCTGAGCTTTTCAATCAATTGAATTTTGAAGTTAATGGGGAAATGAACATCAACAAAATAGCTGAAATTCAGAATATCTTGATTGATTACCAAATTGTGGTTGTAGATCAACGAACGCAGCTGAAACTTTTCGCAGGACCCTCTAAAGACAAGAAAATAATTCTTGAATACTCTGAACCAAGCCACTTTAACACCATCACCAGTCTCAATGGCTATATGGAGTGTAATGGGTTCTGCATCCGATGTTGGGTTAAAATAAATGAAGAACAGCATTTTTGTAAAGGAAGTTGTAAGAATTGCAACTCACTCACACCATGTCAACTAGCTAGTGAAATAACTTGCGAAGTCTGTCATGTTGACTTTGTTTCTCAACATTGTTACGATGCACATATTGCAAACAATATCTGTGCTCAAAAGAAAAAATGTGAAAAGTGCTGGATAATTTACAGGCTGGGAGATGAACATGAATGTGATCGCTACGTTTGCAATATATGTAGCGTTAGATACAGACACTCACCTCATTATTGTTTCATCAAACCTGCAAATCTAGAATATTTCAAGGAAATGGATGCTCAACCTAGCGTTTTGATTTGTTATGATATTGAATCAATGCAAGTATCTCCGGAGCCTTCGACAAACTCATCAAACTCTCTTCACAAACCTAACTTGCTCATCTCAGCAACAGTTTGCACAAGTTGTTTGAATGCTGAAACCCTAACTAAAACTAATGCTTGTGATGTTTGTGGTGTTTTTGAGAACGTTTGGTATGGAGAGCATTGTATCAAAGCCTTTTGTGACTATCTCTACAATGAAATTATTCCTAAAACTAAAGCAAAAAACATGGCGGTAACTGTCATTGCACATAATCAAAGAGGTTACGATGGTCATTTTATAATGCAAGATTTCTTTCAAAGACAATTTCAATTGATCCCTGATGTTATCATGTGTGGTTCCAAGATAATGTACACGCAGATGGAAAATTTGCGATTCGTAGATTCTCTTAGTCTCTTCATGCAGCCGTTAGCTTCTCTTTGCAAATCGTTCAACATAAATGAACTCAAAAAAGGGTATTTCCCTCACAAGTTCAACACACCTGAACATCAGAGCTATGTTGGCCCCTTTCCTTCAAAAGAATTTTATGAACCCCAGTTTATGAAGCCTGAAAATAAAACAGCTTTCGAAAATTGGTACAATCATGAAGCATCAACCGTCACCGAATTCGATTTCAAAAAAGAAATAATTGAATACTGTAGATCAGATGTTCAAATTTTACTGACGGCAATTCTAAAATTCGTGAAGCTTTTCTCTTCAATAACTGGTCTAAATCCAATCACGAGAAGCTTCACACTTGCTTCTGTTGCAATGGAAGTATTTAGAGCTAATATGCTTCCATCTTTCACACTTGCTATCACACCTGTTTTAGGATATGCAAATAGAATGCAATCCAAAGTTGGAAATGCCTGGTTAGATTTCATGCAGAAGTTTCACCGAAATGAAATAAAACGTGAATATCGTCTGGGTCCCTACTATGCTGATGGTTTCATTCCCTACACGAAACAAGTTTTTGAGTTCTGGGGATGTTATTATCATGGCTGTGTACAATGTTACCCTGACAGAAACAGTAATGTTGTCATAAACGGCGAAGAAAAATGCGTGAATGATCTTTATAACCGAGTTTTAAAAAAGAAGCTCTATTATGCTCATAGAGGTTATACTCTGCATGAACTTTGGGAACATGAATTGGATAAAAATGATGCATACATCAAGTCAAGATTGATATTCTACCAAACCATTAAAGTAGTTGGTCCAATTGATATTCGTGAGAGTTTCTATGGTGGACGGACAAATAACATCAAATTCTATCACAAATGTTCAGATAATGAAGTGATTAGATATCTAGACTTTACATCGCTCTATCCGTTTGTTCTGCGTCAATTTGACTACCCGCTAGGTCATCCAAAATTAATTCAAGAAGATTTCAAAACTGTTGACGATTATTTTGGATTCATCAAATGCAAAGTAATTCCACCCTTGAAACTAAATATTGGTGTTCTTCCGATGCGGATATCTAAAAAGCTGATATTTCCACTCTGTTTCAAATGTGCAAATGATTCTGTTCAAACTTCATGCTCGCATAGTGAATTGGAGAGAGCTATGATCAGTACATGGACATCAATTGAATTACAAGAGGCCGTTAAATATGGCTACAAGATTGTGAAAATCTATCAAGTATTAGATTACAAAGTTAATAAAGGTCCATCGATTTTTGCTAACTACGTAAAGATGTGGTTAAAAACAAAACAAGAATCAAGTGATTGGCCATCATGGGTGCAAAACCAAGAAGATAGAGATAAATACATTCTCGATTACAAAAATGCAGAAGGTATTGAGTTAGATAGCAATGCTATTGAAAAGAATCCCGGAAGAAGGAGTATAGCAAAGCTCATGCTTAACAGTTTCTGGGGTAAATTAGCTCAAACAACAAACCTTCCACAGACTGAATTCATCCGCAATTACGCTGATTTATGGTCCATCATAAACAATGAAGAGAAGGAAATATTAGGCATTCATGAAGCCTCTGAAAAGATAATGATGGTACAGCACCGATATTGCAAAGATTCTCAAGAGAAAATTTTACCCGGAAAGACAAATATTGCTGTTGCTAGCTTTGTCACAGCATACGCACGTAGGGAGCTTTTTCGCTTGATTCAAAAGATTGAAGCAGTTCGTGAGGGACGAGTTCTCTACTTCGATACTGATTCTGTTGTCTTTGTTGAAAAAGATGGTGATCCTCTGATTCAATGTGGGGACTATCTAGGCCAATTGACTGATGAGATTGACCCCGGTTGGAAATGTAATTTGTTTGTTACCCTTGGTCCAAAAAATTACGCTTATCAAGTAGTCAACGCATCGGGGCAAACCAAAAGCAACATTAAAGTCAAAGGCATTAAGCTTTCTTCTGGAGCCTTAGATATTATCACAGTCCAGAGATTGGTTCAAATGGCCGAGCAATATATTCACGGTAATCAAGACCAATTTAAAGTTGCTCAAACAAACATAGTGTCGAATAAATTCACTCATCAAGTTACAACGCGAAATTTCGATAAGATATACAGAGCAGTTTCCGAAAAAAGGAGGATCATTGGAAATAACACAAGACCATACGGTTATGTAGATTAATTTATACCTTGTATATATTCTATTTGTCGCAATAAATGTTTAAATAAAAGCAAACACAAAAGGAAAATAGTGAAATTAATTTCAAAACAAGTAGATACTTTGTGCATAACTTGGAAAACTTATAAACAAATCGAGGAAAGGTTCTTGCGCATGTCTATTGAATTAACATGCAAAATAGGGATAAGTTTCGCGCAAAAGCAGGGAATAGTTGAAACAATGCGGAGGTTGTTTCAATGTAGCTAAAGGACAAATTAGGCGTCAATCGAGGCTCAAATGTGCGCAAACACAGGCCCCGCCTTTTCGTACCAGATTAAGAAGAATACATTCTGAGCATGCTTATTCAGGTTGTTCATGGTTACAGACCAGGTTTTTTGTATAAAAGTGACAGTTTCAGCAGTATGAAAATCATTATTCTACTAGACTTCAAACCACAAACATCAACTCACTTCATAATTAGTACTTGACTAAACCAATAACTAAAAAAAAATGGAAGCTTTACTAAACAACATTGCTGAAAAATCATCAAAGTCTAAAAAACAAAATAACATGATGAACACTTCATTCTTTAAAGTTGACAAAAATGATGCTGCGGTGACGTGTTTTTCTATTGAAGATGATTCATACAAATTTAAAGTACAAGACAAATGGTATAACAGCGTTTTAGGATACATGCAATCTCAAAGCAAGGATGCAGAAGAATCCAAACTTTTTGAGCTGCTGACAATCGGATGTCATGCCAAATTCTCTGCATCATGGTCATTAAAAGCTAAACTTCTTGCGAGTGGAGCTAGAGTCATCGTAGCATACGATGCTGATGAAAAAGTTTTCTCTTGTGGGTGTGCAGTCGATGATCCTGCATCAGATTCACCTTTCCTTTGGTCTGGCAAAAACTTATTAGGATATGCATTGATGCATGTAAGATGTGCATTAAAAGATGAATGGAAACGGGAAAATATCGATGCACAAGGCAATCGAATCAAGAAACAAAAAACCAATTAAACATATAAAGGTTTACTAAAAGTATTCTGTAAAAGTTTTTTTGATACTCCTTGATTCAAATAAATAATAACTTTGATAAAAAATGGTTGATAACGAAAATTATTTCAAGTTTTTACATCCTTTTACTTGTATCGTAGCAGGTCCTACATCTAGTGGTAAAACTGTTTTAGTAGAATCACTCATAAAAAATCATAAATTCACGTTTTATAAATTCAAACCACAACCAAAAGTTCTTTGGTGTCATGGTCAAATGCAAGATAGATACAATACACCATCAATGATTCAGTATCATGAAGGATTGATAGAAGATCCATCAGGATATGATTTGATAGTGATAGATGATTTGATGAATGAGCTTGGAGGGGATAACAAGCTATTGAATCTATTCACGAAAGGAAGTCATCACATGAATATCAGTGTAATCTTCATCGTGCAGAACATTTTTCACCAAGCAAAAAATATGCGAGGAATAAGTTTAAATTGTCAGTATCTGATAATCATGAAGAATCCGAGAGATAAATCTCAATTTCATTTCTTAGCTCGTCAAATTTATCCTACAAAAAGTAAAAAGCTGATCTGCGCATATGAAGATGCAACTAAGGATCCTTTTAGCTATTTAAAGATTGATCTAACTCCAACCACTCCAGAAAACTTGAGAGTTCAAACCAACATAGTTCAAAAATCGAATAATCACGACTACACTGTCTATGAAATATGATTTCTTCTGATTTACAAGAGTGTTTACCCATCATAAAGATCCTCCCCAAAATCAGAGGTGTTGCTCTACGTAAGCAGTTTCTTTCAGACCAATATAAAAACGATCGCAAGATATATAAAGCATTAAAGGAAATCGTTACGAATGTTGTACATAAAAATATCACATTATCAGATGCGTGTAAAAAGAGTCTGTTAAGATTTAAGCGTGCTATAATAGAATTTATTCATGATAAAAATAAAAAACGTGAAAAGAAACATTTGATACAATCAGGAGGTTATATACATTTCATGATACCAGCTGTACTTGAACTATTATCTTCCGTATTATCCGATGGAGCCTCTTAAAAAAATTTACAAAGTAGGCTCAAAAAGCAAGAACAATCAAGACGGGAACGGATTAGATTGCTCATCCATAAGTTTTTGTAAAATCAATCATATCATCGAAATAGCATTGAAACTTGCTGCCAACTCTTGTTATGACTCAAATAAGCGTTTAGTTTTCAATGGATCTCCACTAAACGGAACTGATATTGCTGGTCTCGTAGCGATTGCGATGTCTAATGCTAAAAATAATAACAAACAAAAAGGAATATCAGAATTCGTCTATGTCTTGAAAAAGATAGGTATTGATTCTAACTGGATGAAAATAGTAATA